ATAACCACCCCCAGATGGAGGCCAGTTTTATGAATATGCAACTTTTGTTAGTTGGAATTGTTTCGAGCTCGGAAAAGGCCGAGTTAACCGAAGCACACATATCATTTATTTTTTACGTAAAAAAATCATTAGCTAAAATTTTTAGCGTTGGTATCTGACGTGCAATGTCATGTAAAAGAAAGCATTGGTTTTAGAGACGGTAAGAGAAGCCGAATTGTTGATAATCAGAAGTGATCGGTTTGAGAATGTGAAAGTATGTTTTGGCCTCAGACGGACGCCCACGCTCTGAAACAGTTTGTACCGGTAATAAAAGTGATTTTTCACTCTGTCACCAACAGAGTTTTGTGTCGACTCGTCGTGTTAGTTCTCATTTTCTCTTTAAATCACACTCGCACACTGTGGTCCGTTAGCCAACACCTTTTATGGCTCGTCGTAAATCAACAGTCAGTCAGACGACGTCTTCAGTGCCATAACGTCTGACCTTGTGCACAGATAAAGGCTCAATTTAAGGGTCAGTAAAGTTTGATGTTGTGAAAGGATTGTAAATCAACATAAATAATTAATCTGGGAGTCTAGTGGTTGAAAAGGAGAATACAGGAAATACTGTACAAGTCTAGTGGTTGAAAAGGAGAATACAGAAAAATACTGTACATTGTAAATCAACATAAATAATTAATCTGGGCGTCTAGTGGTTGAAAACGAGAATACAGAAAAATACTGTACTTTTTTACTGTTCTCTAGTTAATGCGATAAAATTAAATTTCAATGTTTTGAAATGATTTCCTATACACTTATTTATTATTATTATTATTATTATTATCATTATTCAGTGGTATGATTGTATATAAGTCTGTGTTGGTTATACACACAACATTTGATTTAGGCCAAGTACTCAGTGTGTATTAAAATAGTAAATATACGCAGTATTTCAGTGTCATATTTTCATTTTGGTCTCTGTGATAAACTTGGCCCAGATAGTGTGAGTGGAGCTGAAACGGTCTCCTTCACGACCCACCTCATTAGGGCTGTTTGATCTACCTTGGACCTGTGCTTCCTGACATCTACTGGGAAACCGGGTCCTTCACAACAAACAGATTAGCATCAGAGGGGAAACAAATGGCAGACCTGATTCAGAACCAGTGCTCTGGTGTGCAGGGAAGATTACCAGCATGTGGGGCCCATTGGTGGACAATGGTGCGGTCCAAGGGTTTGAAGGGCCGATGATTGCTGACAGATGGAGGCCACAGAGTCCAAGAAGAAAGCAATCAGGTGGGAGAGGAGGACGTGAACGGTCGCTACTACTGTAGGCCGATAAGAGTACAGCATGATGTCAGCCTGAGTCACTGTGTTTGTGTGTGTTTGAAAAAGCGCTCACTTTTATCCTAAATCTTCTGCAGGGGAGAAATACGGACACGAGAAAGACCTCCACCTGCTGCGACAGATATAACAGCTGAAATGGGGGAAAACGGGCTGTTCAGCAGTTTAGGTCTATTGAAAATAACAACCGTATTAGTTCAAAACTATGATTAGTATCATAATATCATAAAGGATTGAGGCTGTGACCCAGTGGTGGAGATGGGTCTACGTAAAGACTATCAAATGATTACATTTTATTCTCTGATTATCACAGGGAAGCCGTGAAAGACTATCAAATGATTACATTTTATTATTGAAAAAAAAACTTTTTTGAAGCCGTGGATTAATCATGATTAATCGTGACTAATCAAGATAAATTACATGAAAAAAAAAATTTTTTTGTCACATAAAAAAGTCTCATAAACTAGTATTTGACAGCAGCATGTGTGTGCTGACATTTATTATTAAATTTGATTAAATTAAATCATGACCAATTAAAAGAAAAATACTCTTCCTCTCTCTGTATTTTCTTTTGCCTCCTACATATTTAGTCAGATGTTGGTTCGTTGTATTTTTTTTCTTTTCTTCAGGTCTGGACTCTAACTGTATCCTTCTTTGTTTTGACTCTCAGTTGTGTTTCCCTGTGAAGGGTGTCAGGGTCAGGAGAGGCGACAGGAGCAGACAGGCTCCACCAGGGCTGCTCGACTTAAACGGTGAAAGGCCCAATCAGATGAAGTTATCTCTTCCAGCTTCCTTCTGCTCTCACTACAACACGTGTCCTGCTGTTTGTTCACTTCAATCGCTGTTCGACATCTCATTCATTACCATTTGTCACCGGCCGCCCTGAGGCTGAACGACACACGAGGTCGCTGCGGTCGATATCCAGTTAGTCATTTTGAAATGTTACTGTTTTTAAAAGCATCACATTTTAAAGTCTGTATTTTGCTCCTGATGCAAAAAGCATTGACCTGTGCACGATGAGCAAACAACAAACCAGTTAGCTGGTTGGTGGGAGACGTGCACTGAAGCGAAATGCAATTAGACATCGTGATGCAGCTGTAATTAAAGCTGTCCGAGGCAGTGGTGGTACGCCTGGAATGGCTCCCACGTAAAAGTAACACTTAAATGCTCATCAGCTTGGCATAATCATTTTAACACTGGCCTTTTTTCCGGCTGTTTCCATAGCAGAGTCTGAGTCCATAAAGCTGGCAATCAGTTCAGCAACAGACACAGAGCAGAACAGATGGACGGGGAACGACGGAGTCTGATACTGATAGGAAACACCGGGGGAGATAACAGGGACTTACATCCTCTCCTTTGTATGACACTTATTAATCACTGATGAACTGATGATGATTCTTGTTTTTAAAGTTTTAAAATTGTTCCTGTTGAGTCGACTTTTCTGCCGTGCCAAGCATTTTACCAGAAAACAAATCTTTTGCTTGAAGAAATACACTTCATTGAAGAAGCATTTTTAATCCCTTAACTCATTGCTTTCCAAAGACTGGGTCGCGACCCTCAGGTGGGTCGCAAGAGATTTTTTTTTTTTTTTTTTTTGGGTCATCTCGCATCATGTTTCCAAGAAGTTTAAGTATAATGTCTGTTGACTTGGATCGCGAAGGTTTGTGACTTTTAAAATATGGGTCACCAGGAAAAAAAAGTTTGGGAAACACTGCCCCATCTGATGCAGGCCGTGCTTCGCTGGTTATTCTCCATCAATGCCAGTAATACCTATTTAAAACAACTTAACCATTCAAACCAAAGAAAATATCTATTTGTCTTAGTTTTTAAACAAGGTTTAGCAGATATCCACTGAGGTAAAACCCACTTCCCTTCACCATTTCCTCCGGCGCCACCACTTTCATTTATCAAAAAACCAGAAGATGTCCAGCAGCAATCATTTCAGAGATTCACATAAATGTATTTTTAGAGCATGGTTAAAGCAGTTGGTACTTTTTCCACCGGGTGAAGAGGGTCTGCACTTTGCAAAATGTTTCTTTTTCTTTGCGCAAAAACCTGTGACAATATTCCAGCTCGCCTTGCTCAGGAGGACGGGCTGCTCGTCCGTAGCTGAGCAACACGCAAACACACAAAGCTTCATTTGTAAAGCAGACGGATCAGTTATATGATACCCTTCCACTTCAGGCATGGTCTGGGTTCATGGTTTTCTGCATGGCAGTGGGGCGAGCAAAAACAAAAAAAAAAAAAGATTTGGACGGTAAAAATTCAATTTATTGTATTTTTCAGCTTTTCTGCATCCTAAAATAACTTTCCGTATCGTGTTACTATAAATATCTCTGGCCGAGGGTAAACCACTGTTAAGTTAATTTATGTCTGAGAGCGAATGCACGCGGACAAGCCACAGAATTACGAGTCATTTCTGTTAAGGCGGATTAATGAATTCAGTGCATGGAGCGAACATCGTGAATGAGCCTCTTTAGAGGAACGTGCGTGAATTATGGTTTGTGTAAATGGTGAATTGTATATTATACTGTTAATGTAAATAAGTCATGTTCATGTCTCTCCTTGATGCAGTAAAAGACTGCATCAGTGCAGAGTTTACTGCAGTAGCATACACATTTTTGGAGCTGATTTTCTTTGTGTTTTGAAATGTAATATGAGATTTTTTTTGGTTTAATTTAGACAGTTTAACTCCATCACTCATGCAGTTGATTGACTGACGTCATTGTCACCGCTTTGTTCAAACTGTGCATCAGGTGACAGCTGAATTCACATCATGTACATTTCAATTATTAAACCGTTGGTAACGTCCAGCTCATGTCAGATGGACGGTGGGTTGGTGCGTATCATCCAACAGGGCGTGCGCTTTGATCCGCTGAGAAAAGGAAACATTACCTCAGTCGTTCAGACTCTGGTCAGTTTACATTTGATTTTTCACCCAAAAGACGAGGAAACGAGTAAAGGGAGAGATTGCGGTCAAAAAAAAAAAAAAAAAAGGAAGAAAGAAAGAAGTGGAAGGGGCTCGATGAACTAATATTTCAGTAAATGTAAAATCATCTGGGTTTATTTTAAAGCAGCCCTCTATTTTTACAGTAATTTGCGCCACTCGTTTCATAATGTTAGTCTTGGATCTGGTTTGGTGAGAGTGCAGCAGTGTTAGATTAGCCATCTGTGCAGTGTAAACAAAGGCCCATTCTACTGCAGGGATGAGATGATGTTGGCACTATCTGCTTTAATGTCACCTGTAGGATCGGCCTCATTACCTAAGCGGCGTATTCACACATCACAGCGGGAGATGTAATTGATTCAGGCAGAGTCAATCCGCTTTACAACTGTGACGGACTGTAATTAAATCACGTCTGCGTCCCTACGTGCATCCAGGCGCGACCGCATCAGGGAAAAAAAAAAAAAAAAAAACCTCCTCTGCTCAGAGAGAAGCTGACCCTGATGAGCATGGCAAGGGCGTTGGCCAATAAAGGGAGACTCTGAGTTTTCTCAGAACTTTCTGGGTTTGTGGAGCTGCTGTTTTGGTGGTCCTGCGGAAAGTCAGACACCAGTAGGCTCTCAGGGTCTACGGGGTCTGTACAGTGTTGAACTTTTTCCCCCTAGTCCTGCCGCAGGGGCTACATGTTATTTTTCTCCCCTTTTCTCTCCCTCGCCATTCAAGCTATTTTCTCCCACAGTTCCCTTAATGAGACATCAAAGGGCGTGCAGGGCCACTGCTGTGATTTGGCGTCGGTGTGTGAAGGCGGTATAATGAAGCTCCTGGTGCAGCAGTGTTGGCTGAAAAACATTCAAGTACAATGAAGGAATTAAGGTAAACAGTGGAAATGAACATATGTGCTTGTCAGTACATCGGATGAAGTTAGTAAACCTCCTGGAAAACAAAAAAAACGTTTTTTTTACAGTACAAAAAGGCCACTGGTGATTAATACACAGCAGCAAATGTGCACGTTTACTCAGTTACTCAGTCAGTCATACTTAGTCATTCAGCGTCGGAGCAGCAGCAGTCCGTCCATACATTCAACAGTAACGCGAGACGAGTGAGAGGACATGGAAAAACCTCTTCATTTCCTCTCCTCTTCCTCCCTCCCTTTGAAGTCCGAGGCCGTCTTGCTGACACTGTTTCCTGTCCAGTCAGGAAACGCAGGGGTTTCATTGTTTTAGATCAAATATAAAGTTAAATATCACAGAGTGAGTTTTTTTTTTTTTTTAATTTGGCCTATACCAAACACTACCTTTGTCAAGTCAGAGCAGGAAATGAAATTATTATCAATATTATGATCATAATTATATATAATAAATCAAATTATATATAATTATGATATCAAATTATCTTTAATAACAATATTTCAGACTCAGGTGAGCTTTAACAGAACATGGCAACAATATTTTGGACCTAACATCAAAGTTGCAAATATCAAATGGAACCAGTGGGAAAAGATGACTCTGATGATGTCAACAAACAAACAAACAAAAAAGACTAGCATGAGTCTGTGTATATTTTCTTACCCTTCGATTATTTCTTATTTAAACCATGGAATACATTTCCAGTAGTAAATTGATGGATGATAAAGATTAAGCTGTTTTTAGGACATAATATAATAAAATTTAAACACATTATATAATTAAATAAGTTTTAAAATATGTATTCAGATACAAGTCAAATCCCTCCTTCAGTATGGAACACAGTCCAGCCAAGTTTGGCTTTTTTTTTTTTTAAATTGATTGCAATATGACTCAATCAGAGCAGAAACATAAAGAGCTCCTCGTTCTTTATTCTTTTACAGTGATATTACACACAGTTCTGCTCAGCTGTGTGACTGTAACCCCCCTCTAATCCCATGTGACCATAATATTACATAACTGAAGCCTATTCTGAGTATCCTGAACACCTGTTGACCTGTTACATCCAAAAATTTTTTTTTTTTTTTTGCAGAGTAAAACCAATTTCACAAATCGTCCGACAGATGATCTGATGATGTGAGCGTTGTTTCTGCCAATCCATGCAAAACCTAAGGTGTGTACTCTGGGATCTGTTACACACAACCCCTGAAACCCAGATGCACAAACACAGGAACAGTAATGTGAGCCGCCATCTTTTCCCCTCAAGGCAGATTTATGCACATAAATCATTTCCTACACTGTGTTTTGGGGGATTTATAGCAATAATAGGCCATCTCTGCCATTCCCATCCTGTTTCTTCTGTGCAGTCCCTGGGAAAAACCTCAAACGTCTTAACTGCTGGTCATATTGGGTTTTCAACCGCAGTCTTACCTTTCCCTGACCTCACGGCCCTTTAATTTAGTCAAGTATTGGAGTGACATGGTCTTGTATTCTATCACAGGTGTAGAAAAAAAAACAAAACAACGTAGTGGTTCGTTTAACTTCCAAGATTCAGAATAACGCAGCAGTGTAGTAGGGAAATCGAAACAAAACTTTTTTTTTTTAAACACTATTGTTACTGAATCTGCCATCAGCCAAAAAAAAACAAAGGTAAAACCTGAATCACATTTCACAGTATTTCTGTCACCGCTTCAATGACTTTAGCAGCACCGTTAAAGAGATCGTCCAGATAAAGAGCTTTTATTAGACGTTTTAGGTCACTCCCTCTGAGGTGAGGACCTCTGTCGTACTTACCTGTTGTTCCCTCAATGACTTGACGTAGGAACTTTGTACTTTTCTACCGTGGAGGGTTAATGTCACTAGAAAACTTCAG